AGGGGGCGACGATGACAAGGACGTGACGAGGGAAGATGGGGTAGACACCAGGGGGGACGGGAAGAGGAGGAGGGAAGGGAGAAAGACGAGGAGGAGGAGGACGAGGAGGAGGAGGAGGTAAAGGGGGGGGAGGAGGACCAGTGGAAACCCAAGACGCATCAACAATGTTGCAACAAACTCTCCCTCCAAGTTCCCCCTTCACAGTCAATGCAAGAGTTTTATTCATTGCGGGGAGTGCCCCGTGGGAAGATACAAATCTGAGAATCCTCAATCGCGCCATAACGCCATTCCTGGGACGTCAACGCCGCGAATCAACGTGACTGTTACGTCTTGCAAATTTTAAGTCGTTCCAGAAAGTTTGTCCTGGGACGTCAACACCGCTGATTCATCAGACTGTTGTGTCCTGAAGCAACCGAATCGTGACCGCGTGAGCCAGGTTGCCCGTGCTTTCGACTGGGTGCTGGGAGCTTCGTTACATGATTCCATGTAGACGAGCATGCGACTGTGTGTTTGTTGTCTGAACACGTTCATGTGCGTGTAAGCGTTTATGCCTGGGTCATGTCCGTGTGCAGGCGCACGTGCATGTGTATGTGAACGTGCACATGTGTACGTATGGGTATGTATTTTGTTGACAGCGGTTGCATTGTGGGGATGATGGCTTCTTCTCGAGAGAAGTGTCCGCGGCGGTTCTCAGTTTCTTTTGCCGTCCCCGATCCCAGTTTTTCCCATTTCGGTCGAATGCCCTGGCGCTCACCAGATTTAGTTTGCCGCCTTTTTGCCCGTTTCTTCTCGGCTCGGTCGTGTGTCCAGCCGCTAGCCAATCTTTTTTATGCTGGACCTGGCCCGGACTGCTGCTTGCTCGGCCGTGTGTCTTAGGATTGGCTTTTCGATGGTTCTGTTCCTGCATTTTCTGGGCTCGATTGTGTGCTCTGGTGCTCGCCGAGGTCTTCTGCCGGACCTGGCCTCGATTGCTCCTGGCTCGATCACATCCTTATTGTTGCCGGGAGTTTCCTTCGCTGGGCCCTGCTCCCTACTGCTTGTAGCTCGACCCGGTGGCTTGGTTGCTGGGCACTCCCTGCTTTCGGCCTTTGGTCGTGTGCCATGATGGCTGGCCCAAACATGTCTTTTAGGATTGATGTCCTTCGAACACATACGTTTATCTCGGCCCATTTGAAACTAGCGCCATCTCCATCATGGGTGTCTCCTGTAGGTGTTTGAGGCGCACTCGCCAACATCATGTGCACGTGTGTACATGTGCGCGTGTGATTATGTGAAGGCATGTGAGTGCGTCATGATGTGCCGAGCGCATTGTCGCGCCAATCAGCGTAACTCACATCACCAGTCACTATGTGTGTAAACAGTCAGCGCGTGCATACATCCATGTACACATGTATCAACGCACAATCTTTCCAAGAGTCAGCCAGGCTGGAGATCCCCAGTATCTGGTTTGAACATCCGATTGGCTGTCTATCGATGTGCTCAAGCAATGGGGCAGGTGATCCCCCCAGCGGAGTGTACATCAACAACTGCAAGTACGGGCTGCATGGGCCGATCGAGGCGGCTTCCCTGGGGCGGGCCCGATCCCGATCGGGCTCCCCGCGCGGGGTGATAGAGCGAGCCGTGTCCCACAGAGGGGCGGGCAGGGCGCTCCGAATGTGTCGGGAACAGGGCAGGTGGTGGAGTAGGAAGAGGAGCATCGTCGAGCAAGATGATGGAGAGAAGGAGAAGGCTGCTCGTGCTTTCGTCTTGGCCAGGTCGTTTTGCACATTGCTCTCTTATGCGTAGTGGGGCCGCCTTTGGGCTTCCTTGCCCTTCGTGGCGGTGTCGCGTAGGGAAGCGGCATTCGTCTGAAGGGTGTGCGTTGCTCCACCCGTCTTTCCTCCTGTCCCTCCTGCTCCTCCGCTCTGCTATCCACGGAGCTGCAGAGGGATGTGGCGGTAAAGCGCGCTCTCCCTTCTTTTTCTCTCTTTCTCTCTCCCTCTCTCTGTTCTCGTGCTCTTTTTTTATTCTCTCTCTCTCTCTGTCTCTGTCTCTCTCTCTCTCTCTCTCTCTCTCTCTCCGTGCCTCTGTGGTCTCGGAATCAGTACCTACTCATCATATACAGATGTGCATATAGTTGTGCATTCAGACGTAGCTGTTTTAGCTCAACCAGCTGTGGGCATACCTGTATGTATGCGTATATATATATATATATATATATATATATATTTATTCATATGCGATTTTGTTCTTACATTTGGCCAGCTGTATAGACACGTCGACCCCTTCTCTCTACATATGTATAGGTGTGTAGCCTGCTCAAGCTTGTCTTTAGGTATGTGAATGTATATGTATACCCGTACGCCTACACATTGATGCATGCGAGCTGCTGCTTATAAGGGTAGGGGGAAGCGGTCTTACACTGGCTCTTCGTGCGTCGCTGAAGCGGGGTTTTGCAGTGCCGATTCTGGTTGTGTGTCGTTGTGCCCTGTTGAAGCTTAGTTGCTGAGCATTTGTTGTTGTTTGACTCCCTCTTTCCTTATCCCTCCCTCTTTCTCCCTTCTGCCGCCACCTGCTTCCTCCCTTTTCCCCTCCCTCTCCCCCCCCTCATCCTCCTTCCCCTCCCCCTCCTTTTTGTTCATCCTCATTCTTTTCCCTCCTTCTCCTCCTCCCGCTACCTCCTCCTCCCGCTCCCCCTCCTCCCCCTCCCCCTCCCCCTTCCCTCTCCCCCTCCTCCTCCCCCTCCTTCTCCTCCTCCTCCCCCTCCCCTTCCTCCCCACCCTCCTCCTCCTCCTCCTCCTCCTCCTCCTCCTCCTTGTCCTCTTTCTCCTCCTCCTCCTTCTCCTCCTCCTCTCCTTGCCTTCGTCCTCCCCGACAAGACATTTGCGCACGCGCGCGCTGCGGCCCTCAGGTGCTCTCCCGGAACGCCGTGACGGCCTGGGGCGACCCGGGGGGACGCGCTGGCTGCCCACCTTCTCACACCGACCCCTGGCCGGGCCGACCAGGGGGCCTTCGTGGGCGGGTGCACCTTTCGACTACACGTAAGAGTGACCCTTCGCTGGAGTGACCTTTGATGCGGCCCACTGGGCACCCCGATCGCCAGGCGCGACGCGATAGTAGCGCCTTGCGCGCTGGTGTTTGGTCCCTCCGCGGCCCCCCGAAAGCCGCGCACCAAGGGTCACTCTTACCCAGGGTCACTTCTTGCGTGTCGCCGAATCTCTATCCACGGCCTCGCGGGCTGGGGCCCAAGGGGCCGCGACCCCGTGGACACGGGGCACTTTGTTCGGGGATGCTCCGCGCAGAACGTGCCCCTGCGACCTTTCATCTGCGGGGCCGCGCCCCAGAGTGCAGACCGCGAGGGAGCGGGCATGGATCCGTTCGCCGCTCGTGAGACCTGGGGTGTCGGGCGACGAGGTCTACCCAGACATGCGATGTCCAGATTTTTTTGTCAGCACGCGGTCCCCGGAAGTCTCGGCCCTCTCCCCAGGGCGGGGTTTCTCGCCCCGAGTTTTTCCCCAACCATCCTGTTGTGTTCGGTCCCCGTTTTGACGAGACGGTGCCCTGCGTTCCCGCCTCCTTCCTCCCCCTCCTCCCTTATCCCATCCCTGCCTCCGCTCTCCGCGTGCCGTCATCGCCATCACCATCGTCATCGTCGTGATCACCATCGCCATCATCGGCGTCGTCAACATTGCCATCGTCAGCGTCGTTGCACGCCCCTCACACGGTTCGTGGCCCCACAGGGAGCTCCACCGAAGGCTCCAGTGACAGCGGTTGCATGCGTCAACGCCGCGCATTTCGGCACACCATCACACGATTCGTGACCCCATAGGGAGCTCCACCGAAGGCGCCAGTGTCGGAGCTTGCATCGTCAACGCCACCCATTTCGACATACCTCTGACGCAGTTCGTGGCCACAATAGGGAGCTCCACCGAAGGCTTCAGTGGGAGCGGTTGCATGCGTCAAGGCCGCCCATTTCGGCACACCCTTGACACGGTTCCGGCATGCCCACCGCACTCATTTCGGCACACCCCTCACACGCACCCTACTAAAGGCCCAAAAGCAGGCGTCCGCATGCGCCCACCGCACCCATTTTAGCACACAGCTCACACGTTTCATGGCTCCATTGGGACCACCGAAGGCTCAAATGCAAGCGTTCGCATGCGCCCACCGCGCCCATGTTGGCACGCCCCTCACACGTTTCGGGGCCCCATAGGGAGCCCCACTGAAGGCCCATATGCCAGCGTTCGCATGCGCCCACAGCACTCATTTTGGCACACCCCTCGCACATTTAGTGGCCCCACAGGGAGCTCCACCGAAGGCCCAAATACCAGCGTTCGCATGCGCCTACCGCACCCATGTTGGCACACCCCTCACACGTTTCGTGGCCCCATAGTGGGCCCCACCGGAGGCCCACATACCAGCGTTCGCATGCGCCCACCGTGCCCATTTTGGCACACCCCTCACACGTCTCGTGGCCCCACACGGAACCCCAGCGAACACCCAAGTGTCAGCGTTCGCATGCGCCCACCGCGCCCATGTTGGAACACCCCTCACACGTTTCGTGGCCCCATAAGGAGCTCCACCGAAGGCCCATATGCCAGCGTTCGCATGCGCCCACAGCACTCGTTTAGGCACACCCCTCACACGTTCCGTGGCCCCACAGGGAGCCCCACCGAAGGCCCAAACGCCAGCGTTCGCATGCGGCCACCGCCCCCATTGTGGCACACCCCTCACACGTTTCGTGGCCCTGGAAGCCGAACACGGCCAAACACCTACCGCCCTGATCTTTCACGGCGCGAGCACGTCTGGGTTGCAGTGGGCGCGCACGGAGATCTCGTCTCCCCGGGGCGGTGTGCGCAACCCGCCCCGCCGCGCGCGCGCGCCTGCACGCGGCGGCGGCTCCCCGCGGTGGGCCTCTCACTGCTTTGTTTTGCTTTTTTTGGGGGGGGAGGCTTTCGTCGCACAAGGCTCGGATTAGGATGTTCCAGCCTGCTTTAGCCTTGACCGCCCGAAAGAATTGCGAGCACCAGGAGAGCACCGAAACTCGAGGGTTTTCACGCGTCGGGCCCTGGGAGACACTCGTCCGACACTGTTTCGACACTCTTTCGACACCTTTCCGGTTACTCGAAATTATTTATGTGATGTGGTCTTTAAGTACGATGGGAGCAACGTAAGGCTAGGACGAGGTTAAATCCGTTCCAGAGCCTTCCTGAAGGCTCTCGGGGCGTTCCAGAACGCGCTGAGAAGGCCGCGGCGCCCGATGCATCTTCCAGAGTAAAAAAAACACACACAGACGCCCTCCAATGGGTTGTTCCTGGGCCTCAGGGGAGGTTGGCGGTGTATACATCACCGTTGGGAGCCAGCGACTTTATATACACCGCCGCCCTCCCTGGATGTACATGCTGAGTTCGTGGGAGAGAGAGTGTTTGTTTTTATAGGCATGTATGATCTGCATGTATACATGTATGCATGTATGCATGTATGCATGTATGCATGTATGCATGTACGCATGTATGCAGGCATGCATGTATGCATGTATGTAGGTATGTATGTATGTATGTATGTATGTATGTATGTATGTATGTATGTATGTATGTATGTATGTATGTATGTATGTATGTATGTATGTATGTATGTATGTATGTATGTATGTATGTATGTATGTATGTATGTATGTATGTATGTATGTATGTATGTATGTATGTATGTATGTATGTATGTATGTATGTATGTATGTATGTATGTATGTATGTATGTATGTATGTATGTATGTATGTATGTATGTATGTATGTATGTATGTATGTATGTATGTATGTATGTATGTATGTATATATGTATGTATGTATGTATGTCTGTATGTCTGTATGTCTGTATGTCTGTATGTCTGTATGTCTGTATGTCTGTATGTCTGTATGTCTGTATGTCTGTATGTCTGTATGCCTGAATGTCTGTATGTATGTATATATGTATGTATGTCTGTCTGTATGTCTGTATGTCTGTATGTCTGTATGTCTGTATGTCTGTATGTCTGTATGTCTGTATGTCTGTATGTCTGCCTGTATGTCTGTATGTCAGTATGTCTGTATGTCTGTATGCCTTTATGTCTGTATGTCTGTATGTCTGTATGTCTGGATGCATGTATATGTATGTATGAATGTATGTATGTATGTATATATATATATATATATATTTATATTTGTACATATATTCATATGTATATGTATACATTTGTGTATATATATATATATATATTCAAATCGGGCCCGTGTCTCTACAGGAGGACTATGCAAATTAGTTAAAAACAGTCTGGGGACGATGTTTGGAGTTTTTTTGGGGGGGTTATTTTGGGGTATTTTTGGATCAGTTTTACCCAATCAGAGCTTGCCTCTGTAGGGGTCCTAGCGGATTCGAATGGTTAGGTGAGGTGGGGCGCCGATTTCGGTGGCCGGCCCAGGTGCCCGGGTGCCTGGTTGCCCGGGTGCCCGGGTGCCCGGGTGCCCGGGGGTGCCCGGAGGTGCCCGGGGGTGCCTTGAGTTGCCCAGGGGTGTCCAGGGTTGCCCGGGTGCCCAGGTGCTCTATCGCCCTATAGCCCTATAGCCTTACAGCCCTATAGCCCTATAGCCCTATAGCCCTGTAGCCATACAGCCCTGTAGCCCAATAACCCTTTAGCCCTATAGCCCGATAGCCCTATAGCCCTATAGCCCTATAGCCCTATAGCCCTATAGCCCTATAGCCCTAGAGCCCTATAGCCCTATAACCCTACAGCCCTATAGCCCTAGAGCCCTATAGCCATGTAGCTCTATCGCCCTATAGCCATATAGTCCAATAGCCCATATATCCCATACAGCCCTATTGCCCTATGGTCCTACAGCCCTATAGCCCTGTAGCCCTACAGCCCTATAGCCCTCCAGCACTAAAAAGATTATGATCGGGTTTTTCTCCGGTATATTTTTTTTCGTCCAGAACCCCCGTGTAGGAGGACATGCCCGACCTATATATATATATATGTATATATCTATTTGTGGCGTAGATTTCTCCTCCCCCCATTTTATTTTCGTCCTGGCCTCGTCTTCCCTCGCGGGGTCCCTCGTGACCTCGGCTGCGCGCGGCCCTCTCTGGCGGCGCGCTGCAGGGGCGGGGGGCGGCGCGAAGGGGGGGCGGCCGGCTGCGAGGGCGGGGTGCCTGGCCCAGCTCGAGCAGGAGATCGGCGGCAAAAGTTCGGCGGCGAGCGAAACCGTAAGTCGGGCGTCCTCCTCCTCCTCCTCCTCCTCCTCCTCCTCCTTCGCTCGCCGCCGAAGGCTTAAGTCGGGCATGTCCCTCTACAGGAGGAATACTCTAGAACGGCTAAGCAAATACATGGGGACATTTTCTCGCGCTCTTCTGATATTGTTTGTTTGTTTGTTTGTTTGTTTGTTTGTTTGTTTATGTGTGTCTTTTGTTGTTGCTGCTGTTGTTGTTTGCATTTTTCTTGAAACATCTGCCTGTAGGAGGACACGCCCGACCTAAGCGAAGGGGAGGAAGTGAGACGGAGGAGACCTTGTCTTGTGTGTGTTCCTGGGCCAGGGCCTCCGCCTTCCAATAGGGCTGCGCGCAGGAACCCGACAACTTTCTTTTCTGGTTGTGGGTGCAGCTTTGGAGGTGTCAGCGCGTCGCCCATGTCGGCCAGTTGGCCCCAAACAGACACTGCATATTGGAACAGAAAGTGGCACGCCCATCGAGCGCCCTGCGCCCCGATCCTCGGGCAAACTCAAGCCTTGTCAGAAGGTGGCGGGACTTCTCAGAAGGCTGGGGGGTGTCCGAGTCTTCTGAGAAGGCTTTCTTCGTCTCACTTCCCCCCTGGGCGCGCCGCATAACATGACTGATTTGCCCCAGACTTGTTCCTTTCGCCGACGATGCTCGCAGATCCACGGAAGTTCTGCGTAGTGTTTGCTGGCATCTTCGATGAAGAGGTAAGTTTTGGGGCAATTCAGTCATGTAGTCTATCTTCTACTCGAAGAACGGGTGGGTGGGGCCTGCGTAGAGGGGCCAGGAGGCTTCTAACAGGGCTTCCCAGAAGCCGGGATGGCCTCTCGGAGGCCGCTTGCCTTCTGAGAAGTTTCACCGCCTTCTCGGAAGGCCGCCCCGAGTGCGCCACGTGCCCCCCCTTGCCCCGTCCATGTCGATCCGATCGATCCGATTCGATGCCGATTTCTCCTGGCCCTCCTCCCTCTCCTCCCCCTCCTCCTCCCCCTCCTCCTCCTCCTCCTCCTTCTTCTCCTCCTCATATTCCTCCTCCTCCTCCTCCTCCTCCGATTCGGCTCGATTCTGGTGTTCCGACGGTCCGATGCGGCCCGATGCTTGCAGGGCGCGGTTGGGCATCCTGGCGCAGCCGATCCGATCCGACATCGCTTCTGTGACGGTCCAGCCCGATCCGATTGCCATATGGTCGACTCGATCCGACGTGCCCAGTTCGATGCCGACTGCTCCTGCCTTACACGCGCCGCCAAATTCCACCACCCAGCAAACCACCCCAACCCAACCCGAAGGCCTCAATCTGCCCTCCACTTCCAGTGGGGGGGGGTCCGGGAACGTCGAACAAACACATAGATGGAGCCCGCACCCCCCCCATGTAGTGCACGCAATCTTCAGAAGACTGACTTTCATCAGAAATTACGCCATCTGGAACATCATTTTGAACATTTTTATGCATGCGTAGTCCGTTTTGGGCTCGGTTCTGCCTCCAGACCGATGCATTCTATCATGTCATATCGATGGCTCCACACATACTTCCTTCCCCGAAATGCGGGTCTTCGGGCTGGCTTGGTGTGGTCTGGTAGGCGGTCAAAACTTCCTCGGGACGGCGTCCTGGAAGGGGCCTCGAGGTCGGCTTCGAGCGAGTGGTGGCCCCTCGGCAGGCCCGCGCCACCTCGTGCCGAGCAGCTCGGAGTGTGCGCCAGCCGGCCCCAGGACCCCGCGGCGGGGACTTGTCCATGGCCGCCGCCTGGGGGATCGACCTTCGCCAGGAGAGGAAAAAACACACAGACACAATGAATCGTCGATTCCCAGGAAAGTATGGGAAGATCTGGGAAAGTGGGGGAGAAGACGAAAACCCAGAAAGTATGGGAAAATATGGTGAATCCTGTTACTTGTGTGTATGTAGTTGTGTGTCCCTGGGCCCCTTCACTTCGGGGAGCTTGGCAGGCGGTGGATATGGATATATGCGGGCCCCCAGGGGTCCAAATATGTCGGCATCGACCGCCCCCTGGGGTCTCAGGACGTTGGCTCCCCAGACGGAGGATGTGGACAGATCCCCGCCTCGCGAGCATGTGGCAGGCCCGGAGTCGGCGGGGGAGCCCAGCCTTCCGACGCCGTGCTTTCTGCAAGGCGTGTGGCCCTGGGGCCCCACGACCTCTCCCTGGGGACCGTGCTGTCATCCCGGATGCTTTCTCTGTTGCTGGCCCAGGAGACTTGGCAACGGGCCTCCAGAGGCCGAAATTCAGGGAGAGCAGCCGCACATCAGTCAAAAAAGAGGGCACGGGAGGTCTGGGGGAGGGGCCCAGGCGTCCTCCGATCTTCTCTTCCTTTCAGTCCACGGCCCCCCAGAGCTCCCGACCCCTTCCCCGGGGGTAGTCCTGCGTCCCAGAGTCGTATCTGATGGTCGCCCGATGGAGGGCCCCCGGGGGCCGACATGAAGGAGCCCGCCGGGATCAGAGGAAGCAGAGTTGGGTCGGGCATGTCCCCCTGCAGGCGGACTTCGGAGGGAAAGTAAAACATAGTCCAACATTTTCAAACATGATCAAACATAGTGGATTAATCGTTTTTTTGTTTTGTTTTTGTTTTTGTTTTTGTTTTTTTTGTTTTTTGTTTTTTGTTTTGACCTCATTTGAATATTCCCCCTATAGAGCGCACGCCCGACTGAAAAAAATCAGATCGTCGGAGATCCGGGTGGCCAGTGGCAGGCGTCCGCCCGGAGGCGAGGGGATGCAGAGGTGCCTGGACTTCTTCCGCGAGGAGTGCTCCGGCTCGTGCTTCTGGGGCGAGGACCGGGCGGACGCGGGGGGGAGGAGGGAGGAGAAGGGAGGAGGCGGGTGGAGGATGGGGATCGCGAGGAGAGTGAGGAAGAGGAGGATGGGGAAGAGGAACAGGAGTACGAGGAGAATGACGGCCCATGATGATGACGACGATCATGATGTCGAGGAGGAGTAGGAGCAGGATGAAGATGAAGATGAAGATGAAGATGAAGATGAATATTAGCAGGAATATGAATATGATGATGATGATGATGATGATGATGATGATGATGATGATGATGATGATGATGATGATGACGATGATGATGATGATGATGATGATGATGAGGAATAATATGATGATGGTGATGGTGGTGGTGATGATGATGATGATGATGCTTGTGATGATGGTAATGATGATGATGATGATGATGATGATGATGATGATGATGATGATGCTGATGCTGATGCTGATGCTGATGCTGATGCTGATGCTGATGCTGATGCTGATGATGATGATGCTGATGGTGAGGGGGAGGAGAATGAGGCGATGGAGGAGTAGGAGGAGAGGGAGGAGAACGAGGATGGAACATGTGAACATGATGATGAAGAGCAGGAATAAGAGGTGGATATTGAGGAAGCGACGCATTAGACATGATGACGACAATGCGCGAGTAACATGGAGAACATAAAGATGCTGACTTGGAGGAGTATGATGTTGATGACGCCGATGAGGAGGACGAGGATGACGCCAAGGAGGAGATGGAGGATGACAATGGACTAGGCGATGCAATGAAATTGTGAGAAGAGGAATGCGAGGAACAATGATGACGTTGTGGAATCGGGGCCGAACAGTATTTGGATGCTGAAGAGGACAAGCAGAAGTGAGATAAGGCAAATGAGGCTGATGATGATGCTGATGATGATGATGCTGATGATGATGATGATGATGATGATGATGCTGATAATGCTGTTGTTGTTGTTGTTGTTGTTGTTGTTGTTGTTGTTGTTGTTGCCGTCGTCGTCGTCGCCGCCGTCGCCGTTGCTGTGGTTGTTGTGGTTGTGGTTGTTGATGTTGTTGTTGATGCTGTTGTTGCTGAACCTTCATAGAACATTAATTGTTACTTGTTGTTGATCCCCCTTCTGGTGCAACTGGTCTTTTTCAAGCCAAGCGCTCCTCCTGGGGTTCGCACCATGCTTTGTACAAGGGGATGTCTTCCTCAGATCGTGTTGTTGCCCCCTGGTTTACAGCAACATCGGCTCCCGCCTGATACTTCCTCGCAATTTATTTCGAAATCGCGCTCTCGCGCGGGACTTCCTGACACTGTATGCAGGAATCCCGCTCTCGCGTGGGACTGCCTCGCACTGTATTCAGACGCCGTCTCTCGACACTCAGGAATTTCGCTCTCGCTTTCGTTTTTCTTCATCTACTTGGGAATCGAGCTGTTGCTCGAGACTTCCTCGCGATTCATGCAGGACCCGCGCTTCAGCAAGCCGCCTGCTCGATATGGGCCCGCCTTCCCGACCCGCCCGTTAGGGTCTACCCGCCCGATCGGCCCGTCTGGTTCTGCCATATGTTTTCTGCTCCTGGCCCCCATCCTGCAAATCTCTCTCGTGCTCCATCCTTCTCCCCCCCCTGCCTTCCGTCCTCTCCTCTGCTTGTTTCACGGGCTGCACCAATTATACGCGGCAGGTACAGAAGATCTACCTTCAATGGGGGTACGATCGAAGACGCAGAGTGCGGTTATGGGGGGTCTGGGACATACGTGTTGAGTGGCACGTGGGCAGGTAAGAACAATCAATTTTAAACTACTTGGGACTTCTGTTGTTGTTGTTGTTGTTGCTGAGATCTCTTGCTGAAGAATAATTATTTGCCCCCCCCCCTCCGGTGACCGTTGTGTTTTTCAATTGCAGTGCTTCCCCTAGGGCTCCTACCTTGTTTTTTATCAGGGAAAATCACGGGGCTCAAAGTGTGCCCCTGGCTCCAATTTGCAGCAATAACGGCTCCCGCCTGATACGTCCTCACAATTTTTTCCCAAGTCGCGCTCTCGCGCGGAACTTCCTCACATTTCATGTACGCATCGCGCTCTCGCGTGGGACTTCCACGTAACTTATTCAGACGATGCTCCCTCGGCGCTCAGGAATCACGCTCTCTCTTTGGCTTTTCTCACGATTTACTTGGGAATCGCGCTATCGCTCGAGACTTCCTCGCGATTCATGCAGGACCCACGCTTCAGCAAGCCGCCTGCTCTACCTTGTCGCCTGGGCCCGCCTTCCCGATCTGCCCGCTATGGGTCTGCCCACCCGATTTGCCCGTCTGGCTCTACCACTTGTTTTCTGCTCCTTGCCCCCCTTCTGCTAATTTCTCTCGTGCTCCATTCTTCTCCCTCCCCCTTCCACCCGTCCTCTCATCCCTTGTTCTAGAGGCTGCACTACATGCACGTGGCAGGTAAGGAAGATATACCCACAAGGGGGTGCGATCGAAGACGACGAGGGCGGGTACCGAGGGCTTGGGATATACGTATTGATTGGCACATGAGCAGATAGGAGCGAACAGTCTTAAACCGATTGTTGTTATTGTTGTTGTTATTATTGTTATTAGTATTATTATTATTCGTTCTGATGCTGTGTTCCTATTTCTAACGAATAACTGCTGTTGACCTCCCCTGCCCGATAACAGTTGTATATTTCAAGTGAAGTGCTCTTCCCAGGGCTCGCACCCTATGTTTTACAAGGGAAAATGAAGTGTCACCAAATTTGCCCCCTGGCTCCCAGTTTACAACAACAACGGCTCCCGCCTGATATTTCGGCACAATCTATTCCCAAGTCGCGCTCTCGCTCGGGACGTTCTCATAAGTTCCCCAATCAGAGCTTGCCTCTGTAGGGGTCGTAGCGGATTCATATGGTTAGATGAGGTTTGTCACCGACTTCCGCGGCCCGCCCGGGTGCCCAGGTGCCTGGGTGCCCCGGTGCCCAGGTGCCCGGGTGCCCGGGTGCCCGGCTGCTTGATAGCCCTATAGCCCTAAAGTTCTATAGCCCTATAGCCCTGTAGCCTTGCAGCTCTATAGCCTCATAGCCCTATAGCTCCATAGCCCAATGGCCCTATAGCCCTATAGCCCAATAGCCCGATAGCCCTATAATCCTATAGCCCTATAATCTCATAGCCCTATAGCCCCATAGCCCTGTAGCCCTATCGCCCCAGAGTCCTACAGCTCGACATGCCTATATCCCAAAGCCCTATAGCCCTATAGCCCTATAGCACTCTAGCCCGATAGCCCTATAGCCCAATAGCCCAATAGTCCAATAAACATATAGTCCTATAGCCCTATAGCCCCGAAGCCCAATAGCACTACAGCCCTATCGCCCTATATTCCTAAAGCCCTATAGCCCTGTACCCTCATAAGCTTATAGCCCTATAGCCCTGTGGCCCTATAGCCCTATTTCCCTATAGCTCTATATGCCTATATCCCTATAGCCCTATAGCCCGATCGCCCTGTATCCCTATAGCCCTATAACCCTATGGTCCAGTAGTCATATAGCCCCATCGCCCTATAGACTCAAAGCCCTATGGCCCTATAGCCCTAAAGCCCCATAGCCCCAGAGCCCCATAGCCCCATGACCCTATAGCCCTACAGCGCTATAGCCCTATGGCCTTAATAGCCCCATGATCCCATCACCCTGTAGACCTTCATCGCCATGGCCCTACAGCCCCATAGTCCCATAGCCCCATAGCCCCATCGCCCTCTAGCCCAATAGCCCCATAGCCCTATAGCCCTAAAAAGATGTTGATTTTTCTCCGGGAACACAAAACAGGAATCGCGCTCTCGCGTGGGACTTCCTCGCAATTTCTTCAGACGCCGCGCCCTCGACACTCAGGAATCACGCCTTAGTTGCGGATTTCTTCGCGATTTATTTGGGAATCACGCTCTCGTTGCGGATTTCATCACGATTTACGTGGGATTTACTTGGCGATTCATGCATGGCGTTCCTTCAGCAGCCCGCCTGCCTCGTATCCCTTCCTTCCATCCCTCCTCTCTTCCCCTGCTTCAGCTACCCCTAAAGGGGTACGATCGAAGACGAAGAGGGCGGTATCGATGATTTGGGATTTACGTGTTGAATGGCACGCGGGCAGGTAAGATCGCGAACCGTCTTGAAATTGTTGTTGTTGTTGCTGCTGTTGTCGTCGTGGTCGTTGAGTTCTCATTTCTGAAGTATAATTATTGTTGATCCCCCGTCACTTCCTCCAAGTTGAGACTTCCTCCAACGGCTTGAGACTTCCTCCAAGTTTACTCAGGACCCCCGCTACCGCTCGAGAATTCTTCACAATTTACTCAGGATCGGTGCTCCCGCCTGCGACCTCCTCGCATTTTAGTCAGGACCACCGCTCCCATCTGAGACTCCCTCACAATTTACTCAGGAACGGCGCTCCCGCTTGAGACGTCATCGCTCGCAATTGAGTCAAGACTTCATCGCAATTTAATCGAGAACCCCGCTCCCGCCAGAGAACCCCTCACATTTTATTCAGGAATTGCGCTCTCGCCTGTGACATCCATGCAATTTATTCAGAACTTGCGTTTTCGACGCTCAGGAAACACGCTGCGCCAAGGACGCCGTCACAATTTACTTAGGAATCGCGCTCTCGCCATATTCAGGCATCCCGCTTGAAGCTCCCACCCGCCCGACCCGCCCGTCAGGGGATCGCCCGCCCGTCGTAGGCTCCCGCCCGAGACTTCCTTCAGGAACGGTGCTTTCGCCTAGGAGTTCCTCGAACGTTCATGCTCTTACCTTCCTGCTCCTCCTCCGTCTCCCTCTTCCCTCCTCCTGCTCTCCTCCCTTCTCTCTCTCTCTCTCCTCTCTTCCCTCATCCTTATGCCTCTCTGCCCTATCCCCTCTCCCTCCTCTCCCTCCTCCCTTCTCCCACTCCTCTCCTGCCTCCTCCCTTTTTTTTTTTTTTTTTTTTTTTTTTTTCTCTCTCTCTCTCTCTCTCCTTCCCCTCTCTCAACCTCTCTTATCTGTCTTTCTCTCTCTCTC